CTGGGTCCTTTGCATACTGAACTGTTAAGAACGGCCTTCTGAAATGGCTTCTTTCCATTTGCTTTCTGAAGGTATCCCTCGCGCATTGAGAAGATAGATTATGAAGAGGGGAAGATGCTTGTCCACTTTGAACGCTGGAGTCATCGCTACGACGAGTGGATTTATTGGGACAGCAATCGGCTGCGGCCCCTCGAGAGGCCCTCGCTGAGGAAAGAGGGTCTGAAAGATGATGACGAATTCATTGTAAGTGTTCATCCCTCTTGCGACCCTAAAATCTTATTATGTGCATGTCTTGGGACATACCCCCAAAACACACTTTTATGGAAGACAAACCTGTAGACAGAAGCAGATCTTGAGCAGAAAGTCTTCTGGGTTAGGGCCGTATTGAAAGTTGGTGCTAAAATATGTTGACATCGAATAGATTTTTGATTATGTTGATAACTCAGTATATTGAATCTTTCTACAAAACAGGATTTTAAACCTGGGGAAGAGGTTCTAGCTCGTTGGACAGATTGTCGATACTATCCTGCAAAGATCGAAGCAATTAATAAAGAAGGTATGTGTTGCTGGACCAAGGTTCCATCTAATTTGGTGTTGTGTTTCCTGGTTGGTCAGATGTCTTTGAGGGACTTATAAGGAGGTGTCATGACCCCCAGGGGGTCGCCACCTTCAGCTGCCACCACTCTGGACTTCGGGTCCCTTGAGAAGGCCCAGAGTACCCTCCCAAGCCCATCCAAAATGCCCCTTTTTAAGCCGAGAACATAGGCGTGGTGACCGGGCAGAGGACAATTAAACAAATGGTTTATTAACACAGTACTGGGGCAAGGGAAACTAATCTAACATGGCTACCTAGTTCACTTAACTAGTTACTACTTCAAGGCCCACAGCCCTCTTATAGGGTTAGGGTTAGGGCCTCTTCTTGGGCAACCGTAGTTCTGATAAGAGCTGTTCTTGACAAAAAGAGCAGTTTGTGTCGGAGCTCTCTCAGCCCCACCTACCTCACAGGGTGTCTGTTGTGGGGAGGGGAAGGGAAAGGAGTTTGTAAGCCACTCTGAGACTCCTTTGGGTAGTGAAGGGCGGGGTATAAATCCAATCTCCTCCTCCTCCTCCTCCTCCTCTTCTTTATTTATTTATTTATTTGTTTGTTTGTTGGATTTCTATACCGCCCTCCCAAAGGCTCAGGGCGGTTCACAGGCGGCAAAGCCTCTTCTTCCTATTCATCTTCTTCTTCCTCTTCTTCTTCTTCTTCTTCTGCTGCTGCTGCTTCAGTGAACAAATAATACTGGGGAGCAAGAATAGTGCTAGATCCCATATTCAGTGTCATACCAATTCATACAAAACAGAAACTCAGTGTGCTCCTTTTATGTGGTGGCCATGCGATAAAAGTAAAAAGCATTGGTTCTGGATACATGAGATCTTACAAAAAATACTAGAAACAAGTATACTTTTTATACCAGTATTGTTTTTATTGAATATAATACCAGAAAAAATATTTCAAAAGGGATGCTTATATGATTACATATGTTGTAACTACAGCTAGAATTTTGTATATAGGAGAAAAGAAGAAAGTCCACCAAAAGAAGAAATAATTTACAAATTATTAGAAACAGCTGAGATGGACAAATTAACTATTATTACAAGGCAAAAGAGAAGATACTTTTGAGAAAACATGGTCAAGATTTTATAAATGGATTGAGAACTATTTTAAGTGATATACCGTAAACCACCAGAAAACACAATTAGAAATATAAACTGTAAATATTATATATGCATGCATAAAGTAATAGAATGGGTGCAAAAAGAAATGATTGTAGTATAAAAAGAAAAGTTTAAGCGTGATCAATGGAAGGTGCTCCTGATTAATGTTTTGTTTGTCTTGCATGTGTTTTTGTTGATGTTGATGTTATGTGTTGAAAAATAATTTAAAAATTATATATCTACAAGAGGTGGACCCG